AAAGGCCACCTAGAATTTTCGGGAGCCTTTTCCTGGCTGAAATTTTCGAGAAGGTAAGTTTTTATCCCTATAATTTTCGGATGACTAGACTTTCAGCTAGGAAATCCGAACAGATGAAAAGTTTTTAGGGGATAAAAATATGCCTATATCTACCGTTTGAATACTAAAATACGTTCAACAATGCTATGTTAAGAGGTTTTGAACTATATCCTCGTTGGGTGCCCCTGTTTTTCAGGCACATTCGTCGCATATCAGAGCAAGAATTGTTTTGCATTGTAACGCTTCTAACAAGCTCAGCGCAACCACAACGACGAAGGAAACAAGCAAATCAAGAAAGCACTAGCTTAAAGAAGCAAACAAAAACTGTGCAGCACACGTTTTGGCAGCTTTGCCTTCATTGCACAACTAACGTTCTCATGCAGACTTGATAGGAATGGCGAGGCGATCGTGTCATTATCTCTAAGGTCGTCACTGCATCGATAGCGACCGTCGAGACTTCGATTTTGTCGGAAATTCTAAAAAAGCCCAGTTTACGCGGCTTTAAATTTTGTTTCCCTAAACTTTATTAACACTTCAATATAATTTACCAGTGACTGACAAACTGTCAAACCTCCTGCCAACTTTCTTGACCATCAAAAGTTAAACCAAAGTGATTTGTTAATTTCAAGTCCGACCAAGCTCAGTTTCTCGTGCTTTACCATATATTGTTTTCTTTTCTTGCTGCTTCACTGAACTGTTACCCTTAACGAGCAGTGGTTTCTCCAGCCCGGCCTGGAGAAACCACTTCTCGATCGCAGGTTATTGAAATGTTTACCCTTTTGTGATACGCTAAAAACTGAGATTTCTCTTCTTTTGTTCGTTTAATACTCGACTCGAAAACTTTCAGTAACCTTTATGTATTTTCAAATATCTTAAACAGCACTCTTACACTGACTTGTATTTTTTCGCTACCAGCATTCTACTGGTCTGAAATGTCATACGTCTCCTCCCTCCCTCCCCCGCCCCCCGCTAACCCCCACGGCTAGGGGGTGGAGACGTGTGACATACTGTTTCTCTCCGTTTTTAAACAGACCGTACTGTACAGTACCGCAAATGATCCAGTACTCTTTAGTCTACTTACACTCTCAACGCAACTCAGGAATCCCTGTGCAGAGCAAAAATAGCTTTTGTTGAAAATGGGTCCAGCAGGCCTGTCCTCATCGGGGTCATTACTGCTACTCATCTTGGTCTACCTTTTAATCCCGTAAAAAAACACACTGTTTTGGATGAAAAAGGCAAATCAGGGGCGGGGAGGTGGGGGGGGGGGGAAATCTTATTGTTTTCCACCTAAGTTTCTAGACCCACTCCGCCTGCCAGTATGATGTCACATAGTAACGGACGAGAGGTGTTTCTGGAAACAGCATAATTCTCTTTCTAATTGTCTTGTCCTGTCTTGTTACAGAAGCCCGACAGGAGCTGCTTGTTATCAGTTTGTTTTTTCTGCAGCAAAATAGACAGTATCTTTACCACTTTGTCGAAAGAATTGATCAGATTTCCGAGAGTCCATTCTCATAGCTCGCGACCGTTAGAAGGCCAATTGCGTTTATACTGATTTAACATCAATTTACACAAAAGTAAAAGGATAGCCTGCGTGGCAGGCGTTTGAAAGGGAAGGGAAAGGGAAAGGGAGTATTAGGTGCGAGAGAAACGCGAGCGTCCCTCCCTCCTCGCGCGCCCCTCGCGTTTCCCTCGCGCCCAAAACCCCCTTTCCCTTCCCTTTCAGCGCCTGCCACGCAGGCTACTAAAAGGATTGAGAAGGCTTAAAATCATAAGCACTTCTCAACTCGGCATCCCCCAACTCCCTTAGAAAAACAAAAAATGTTAATTAAGCTGTTTAGACAAAAGTGGATAATGGGAGCAATTAACCTCTTTTGTTTAAGCACAGAAGTTAAGCAAGGGAAAACGATTAACGAGAAAAGACCCTTTGAAATCACATATTTGGATTAAAGCTAAGTTGAAATTAGAACAACAAAGCATCCGTCCTTGTCTTTTCTCCGGCGTACTAGGAACTCTATGCCATGTGATTTTTCTCAAAGTTTCTTGAAACTTCATTTGTTTACATGACAAAAGAGTTCAACCCCCTTTCGTGATGTAACAACGTGTCGACCTCCTTTAAGTCGCTTTTAATTTGTCGCTCTAACTACTTAGTTGAGATATAATAGTCAGTCTGTCACGGTTAATTCTAGACTAACAAAAAATTTCATTTAATCGGTGAACAAGCGAGGCTCCGGGGATGAATTAGATGCCATATCCTGTTAAAAAAATTGCAAACAAAATTACCTGCCGCAAGTGCACGTATTCCGAACTACTCGTGATCGAATGCTTGTCTCGTGGTCCGAGTTCGAGTGGCAAGCTGTTTCGTGAGATGATATAAGGTGTAGTTCGCGGAAAGAAAGCGGAAGTGTCACATGAGTTTACCAGAGAACACTCCTTTAATAGGGTCGAAAAGTTGCCAAGTTCAATTAAACGTTTGCTCGAAGGATCTGTTCATTTAAGGCAACAGCCGGTGTAAACAAAAGCTAGCGTTTTCTTCAGAAGCGGAATATTTCACTGAAACTTTGACCTTGCTGGCTTCAAGTATGTTTATTGAAGCCAACTTGAAGAAATACGTCAAATCTTGTCACGTAGAAGAAAGTGAAAAAGCGATAATATGGTTGTAAACACACAGTATAAGGAGCTAAATTTGCAACGTCACGCTATATCAAGGAGATTGTATGTATTTCATAGTATACACGAGCGATAATATGATTATTGACAGATCATCGGGTCCTTCATTGTCTTTTTTTAAAAAATAACTTAACGTAATAAACGAAGAATTTTGTCTAAGCCTGTCCATCCATTACATTTGCCAAAGAGAGCGGAGCTTGCCTCTCAAATTTTGGTCCGGTGACATAATTCAAGATATGAACAGTGAAACATTTTATACAGTAATTTGTTTTCAGTAAACGGTTGTAATATTAGGCTGGTTCTTACCTCTGCAGTTCTTTAACTATGTTATAAATTTGTCCGTAGATCGCGGAATACTAGTCCGTTGCTTTCTCCAACAATATACTTCTTTTGGAGAGAAAACATAGAAGGGAAGACCAGAAGATATAAAAGTTCGCCAGCGTCGAACACAACAACATGCAAATGTTTGATTGTCACGCTTGGTTGGCTAGCTCAATATTTGTATTTTCTCGTGGGTGATTGGTTAATATTTTAACTGTTGACGACAGCCTCTTAAATGTCCATTCCGCAATAACTGTGTCAACAAATATGGTCACTTTGTCACATCATATGGCTTAGCTGATAGCTACATTCTAATTTTAAAAAACCATTGGTCTTTAGGAGGGTAAAGCCATTTCCATGATTACAAATACCGTAAACAGCCAAGTAGGATGAGCACCATACTTTTTCCACGTTTATCTTGTCGTTTTTGTCGATAAAAGACCGCCTTTGTCTCGTTGTCTCTGCTGCGTGACAAGACAGATACTTTCACTTTGGCGGAGCAAGTTAATTAAGTATAAACTTACGACAAACAGGGTTATACTAACTATACCTATGAGAAGAGGGAAATCTTACCTAAATAAACGCCAGGTCGAGGGAAGTCTAGGAAAGGCCTAATAAGTGATTTCACGTCTAACGATTTCTCTTGAAACTGAAAATATGCCAGATTCAGCCATATTCCTAAAATGAATTGGTCCTTCATGTAAGCCCTAACAAGGAAGGGCACAGGTCACCCAAGCGTCGTTTGAGGGGGCGCAGGGATTTTGGGGTATACGGATGCGTTCCCAGATGATGGTGTCATCGACTTGAGAACTGTAACATCATTAATCCCAAACAGGAGCCCATCAATTTGATGTACTCCTGTCCCAAAGTAGCCCCACCGCATACTATTTGAGAGCCTGGCACAGGCTAATCCCAATGGTGCAATTAGATCAGAGATTACTATTCTCTCTTGATGGGTGAGGTTAATTATTGCTGGTTGCTGGGGGTTGATCATCGCTGAAAATTGTGACTGTTATTTGATCTTGTTCCGGACGTATACAAAACATGGCCCGAAACATGGCAATCTAGTCTCTCTCGCAGCCGTTTTTTGGGGGAGCGTTGTGTGACATCCAAAAAACGGCTGCGAGGGAGACGAAAAGACAATCGCGATTGCCAGATTTCTGCAAAGTCGAAGTTCCATCGTTATAAGTGAAGCAAACGGTAAATCCAGTACATTTACTATAAAATAACAATCGATTACACACGCACACTGTGTGGGTGCCCTGTGGTCACAAGCAACCGAAAGTATCCCAAAGGATGGCGAGCGAGTCAGTTCATTACAGTACGCAATTTGGCAAAGTCAAAAAAGCGTCTACGATAGCGCTGGTTCGTGAAGTAAACACGAAGATCTTAAGATGCAAGCCGATGTAGTCGATGTATTACCGCCCGCCTTTATTATTTCGCGCCCAACAAAAACCGCCTTGCTAAGCAGGCTATTAGTTTGTAATGTGTGTTTGCCGGAGTGTGGCTAGCGTAGTGAAATACGTTTCTTGATTGACTTTGACTGATCGTGCTGCTCTCGAAAAATTTGTTGTTTTATATATCTGGAAGAGTCCTGGTAGTCTACTTAGCAGCAACTGAATAACAAGCTGTAGTTCCGGCCGACCTGCTTCCTCAAAGTAAAGCCGGCTGTTCTTGGTTACGAAAGCAATAAAATGAAAAACAGTGCTGCCACTACACCCTGAGCTCTGCTGGAATCCTGCGAAAGCATCCTGTTTTTTCGGCTTTAGTAAGTTCTAGTTTCACCCGTTGGGAAAAGGAAGAAGGAAGAGAAGCAATGACCGGAGCATCTCGCAGACTGCGCGGCGCTGTTTCCCGTTACCATTGACGTAGGTTAGGCGAAGCATTAATTTAAGTTAATAGACCCGAATGTACTTTTTCGAGGAATCCGGGTCCCTCAAGCATGAAAAAAAAAAAAGAAAGAAAGAAAGAAAGAAAAAATAAAACAAGCAATCAATAATCAATCTGGGCTTATCTAGATTTTATTATACTTGTAAGAGCAATATACGACCCGCTGATGGGGCAAGGTGAAAAAAGTAATATCCTGGTTAACAATGGCTTTGTTTACAGTGGTTTACTTGGTTGTTTACCCCAATGAAACACCATCATAGGAAAACTTCCCTTTTCATTTTTAACATGCCACTGGTGTAATAAACCATTTCCTTTTTAAGAATACGACTTTCTTGCCTTGGGGACCAGCCTGAGAAAGAAATCTTGTTAAAAAGTCGTTTCCCCTTGAAAAATAATTATGTCCTGACTTTTTGGCAAGTGCATATTGCTGACAGGCCGGCTGGCACAATACCGAGACTTATTTACCACATGTACAGTACATAGCTGCGTTATATAAACTTTATCTCCCATTCAACAAAGCGATTGGTGTGTGCTTTTTTAAAAACTAATACAGCGGGCTACTTTTGACCATTTTGTAAACAGCCCAATTTATAGAGATAAAACGGTTTCCCTTGTTCAATACGCACAGTATATAAATTCAAAGAGCCGAACTATTTAATGCTCCTTCAATTATCAAAACAAATTGCTGATATCCGAGTCCGCTTAAATAATGAGTGGAAACTCATACATAAGATATTAACTTCAAGCAATAAAGCAACAAGAAATGTCAACAATAAACGAAGTACTTTATTTCATACGCCAGTAAAAGTACACACAAGGAAATAATATACAGATGATAATTTAGACAGTTGAGTAAGCTATTTCTCGCTTAACTACGTTTCCTCGAGCAACTAAAAAATAATTTTGAAGTTTTATAACCGATTCATCATGATCACTCATCGTTATAAACCAGTAAAACCAATTTGTTATGGAGTACCAGCTCTCATTCCTCTGTTTCTGATATTCTTCTTTGATGCCTCCCAAAATTTTACATTATAACTCATGATGCTTCTTTAAGGCAATAGAAGAAGACGGTATGAAGATATAGCCAAGGCTGGTTTGGCTTGCTAGGTTTGTCAAACTTTAAACGCGGACGTTAGCTCGATTTTTTTGTTACTCAGCGAGGACTGTAATAAAGAAAATCTCTCATAGTTTTTAATTCTCGATCATTTTGCTATTTGAATAGGTTTTTAACAAATGAAAATTTCTTTCAACGGGGGACTGACCTAACACTCCTCTCCACCTGACTTGGAGAACCTTCAGCATCAGAGCGGCCGCCAGTTTTACACGTTACGGTTCTCTTGTACTCCGCGCGAAACGCTCGTCTCATTAGTCCATACAGAATCGGGTTTATAGCTGACGACGTGTAGATAAGAAGGCCGTACATGTAGTAGACTCGTCTCGGCAACATCGGCACGCGGTTGTTCATATCGATTTGGTCGATGATCATTATGGGAAACCAACAACACGAAAAGCCAAAAAGAACTGCTGCTAGTGTTTTTGTTACCTTGACTTCCTGAATGTGCACTTGAGGATTTCCTGGCTGACAGTCGCTGTCTTGTTGAGGGAAAACCGCGTTTTTCACAGAGCAGTAAATTCGGCAGTAGAGGCAGGTCATGATAATAAAAGGCGATGCGATGAATGCCAACCCCATACACAGCGCGAAGATAAAATTCTGTTCCATTGCGAAGGCGCAGTAAGATTTCCCTGGGTGAAATTGGTAGCCTTTTCGAGCGTAAATCAAGGGAGACAACGTTGGAAGACATGCTAGGACAAACACTCCCACTGCGAATCCAATGGATTTCTTCAACGTAAAAACCCTCCGATACAAGTTAGGTTTTAACACGCAGAGGTATCGATTCACTGCTATAACAACCATCAGTTGTAGGGAAATGACTGCAAGCGTCAAAGGGAAAGAACCTTGGAATATGCAGACCCCTTTAGTGTAAATCCAACGTCCTGACGCTAGAACGCCTATCGTCAAAGGCATTGTGGAAATGGACATGGTGATGTCGGTCAATGATAGAGCAAAGATCAGAACGTTTGTTGGAGTGCGGAGACGTGTGTTACGAGCGATCGCTAAACAAACCAAAATGTTTCCAAAAAAAGCGCTCAATGCAACCAACAATAACAAAGCTGTTTCTGTCACTACTACCGGCATGGAACGAGATGCAAGTTCACGGGACAAGCGCTGGTTGTGAAAGACCATCAATGCGTGAAGATCTAACGACATGTTCATCCTTTTGCTACGTTATTTCTACGTTAGTGTAGTGAAGAGTTCTAGGCGGACGGCTGCAGGTTGCCTGATTTTAGTCATATATATAATTATTTTTGGTCAGGTGCTTGATTTGTGAATTCAAAACTTTCCGTTGAAACGTAAGTGTCAATGAAGCAAGAGTATTTTCAATTACTCAAAACATTTTGTTGCACTTAGCATCGCACGGATATTACATTCAAAGTAATTAAAACGTTTCGCCGGTCTCAAAACTGAAGTGCATAGGGCTTGATCCGTACTATTAAGTCTCTCTATTATGCATCGGCTGCATGCTCAACAATGTTTTCTGGGAACAAACAAATCCTACAGCGCCATTCTGTCAGTCATAAAAAGTGTCGTTACCATAAAAAAACCAAACAGTTAAAGCGGATACTTCCATTAGCAATGTCAATAACTTATACTTTAAAGATTGTGAAACTAAATTAAATATTCAAAATTTTTAGTTAGTTTTTCAAAATTTCTCTCTCTCCCCGTTCAGTGTTTCCTTGCTCCCTTATATTTCAGTCACCCTATATCCCATTTAATTTTATGGAATGCAAGAAAAAAAGTACAGAATGATCATGTCGTATGTATTTGGCGTGAAATTCTGTCGTTTCAACGATAAAACCTTTGAATTGACTGTTTGACAGTTACCTTCCTTCTAAAGAATAAGACAGTTTTGAATCTTGACCTCGTATTGCAAGGGCATTTAAACTTATGTAACAGTAAACAAAAGAGAGCTGTAACTAAACGAAACCTTTTCGAGATATCTCCCCAAATCTCATAGGATTTAATGTTTCAGACTACAATTCAAAAAACTCGTAAAGAAAATCTTTAAATAAGAATGACTGAGACTAGGTTTTATGAGCCCGCGAGACTTATTTATTTATTTATAAAAATAAACAGTTTTTTTTTACTGAGTACGCCTTGACCCAAACCCTTGTTTTCACTAAAACCGCTGGACGCCACAACCTGGTTGAGGTCATTGTTATCTACGGTCTTCCTCGTAAAGTACTCGGTATTTTTAAGGAGGAGCCTTGTAGACTTAAGAGTGTCAATGAATACCGATTATTATTCATTCAAAATATTTCCCCGATTCTGATTGGCTAAAAGCACACGCATAATTCACCATAACCAGCTACTGATGACCAAATTTGGAAGAATTTTACGTTTAATGAACCGATGACGTCAAAAGTGCAGCTTTCTTGCAGGTTAATGCACAGTTAACGGAGAAGACCTGGGGACGAGGTTGAATTGTTTTGGTTGTGAAAACAAAAATTGCGGACGTTTCACTCGTTTCAAGAGTAAGAAATAGGCGAAATAATAGCCAAAAACATGGGAAGAACAGCGAGAAGGCAACTCAAAGGGCGAAATCTGCTATTTGGAGAATATTTGTGGAGCTGAACAACCCTAAACGGGGACTGTAACGAAGATGAACTTAACATTTCTGCTATGTTTTTAAACTAGGAATTATTTTGAATGAATAATAAAACAATTATTGAATTCGGCTTTCGTATTATATGAAAAATTATGGAGATCTCGGAGGATGTTATCCGTCGAGGCCGTAGGCCGAGGTGGATAACGAAAATGAGAAAAGTTGAATAAAAGGTTGAGACAAAACAATCAATTTTAAACAAAAACCAATATTTACTAGTGATACAGCACAGATTTAAAAAAGGAATGGTCAGCAAAAGACGGTCCTGGTTGACCAGGAGCTGAGAGAGTCGGATGTCTCGAATTTTCAATTCAAAACAATTTTCATACTTAATCTCTCCAATTCAGTACAGCTGTTCTTTTAGTTCTAAACACATTGGTAAGAGTCTGTCGCTATGGATAGAGAAGCCGGCGTCATCAATCCAGGGCCACGTCATTTTTTAAGAGCGAGTTTTTCCCTTTTTTTCTTGCAAGAAAACCGTCTGAAAAGTACCAAAAACATCAATCAATAATTATAAGTCAGAGAAGTTCAAATTTTAGGATCTTATCCTGTCGTTTCCAAGATGATGTCCACAAGTAAAAAAAGTCTCTTCAAAATATACCGTTTAAACAAACAGAAATACCTTGCTTATATCTACACTCACGGTTGGAAGCAAAAATTGATCAGAGACGTTCATAGCAAAACAATTTACACACTGCATGGATTGATTCTTCTTAATAGTTTTTAGTGCACAATTTTTTCAAATAACTCTTTTTTGAAACAAGAAAACCAAAAAAAAATGGAAAAATATTCACGACGACAAAAAGGAAAAACTATACAGAACTTACAAGCAGAAAAAGAAAAAGAGCTAGAACGTGCCCATTGACATGGCCGATACTTACACTAATAAGTTACTGTACAAGTGATATTTACATGGTTGATACATGATGCGTAATGATAGTCTGCATATTAAAATTTTCTATTAACCCTTTCACTGCCAAATGAAGCCAAAGGAAATTTTCGAACAAGTTTGCAAATTTCATTTTGTGAAGTTTTGAAAAACAAATAGCAGTGAAAGTGAAGGCAGAGAGCTTTCATTTGAATGGTCACATCGTAGGATTTCATCCACAGACTCAAAAGTTAGAGTCACCTTACAAAACTCCATCAAGCACTCTGGCAGTGAAAGGGTTAAAATCTAAACACTCATTTATTAATTCTCCTAATCAGTTCTCTATTGATCTCTACTTTGTGTCATTCTATATCCTGGCTTTATCGACAGGTTTTATCTTTGTTAACACGGCCCTACAGTTTGAAGGCCGCTGACCAAGAGTTCGCGTTTCAAACTTCCCTTTTCCAAGCAGGCATTACCATTTTTAGCAACTTATGAACATTTATTTTTTTTTTTTTTTTTTTTTTTTTTTTGTTTTTATTCCGTTGTTATTTTAAAAACCGAAAATAGAAATTCGCAGCCCAGAATCGAATCCGCGGACCTTCTACTGTGCCATCGTTCAAGGCTTGGGTTATTATCAATAATCGCATTGACCATTTTACGAAAGAGAAACTTTGGAAGACTGGTATGTGATAACGGTTGTTTACCATTTATAAAAAAATTCCGAAAATTTTGGTTGGGATTTTTCGGTCGGTAAGAAGGGTACTTGTCGTTTACCATGCATTTGCCCAAGATTTCCGGATTGTCGCGCCGCGATAGACTGAGGATTCTAGTTACAACATGAAACTAGTACGAAACTTAAGAAACTTGTAAATGGTAAACGAATTTCCGTTTGGGACGTCCAAATCGGGAAAACGGGACTACCTGTTCAGAATTTCCGTTTGTCCCTGGAATTTTCCAGTGGGACGAACCAAAAAAACCTTTACCAATTTACATCACAACCGGAATTTCCGGGAATCTGCGGTAAACGGTAAACAATCTACGTCACTACAAAATGGGCCAACAGCAAAGCTTACAGCACTTCAGTATTTTACTAGCGCGGCATGTGTTATTGCCATGGACATAAAATTATGCCTTCGCGGAACAATCAGATCCAATCAAACCTCTGACTGATTACTTTAAGCGCTCAGTCCAACCTGAGAGGCCTTGGAAAACGTGCCTCTTGATTAGAATAATTATCCTTAATTAGTAGAATGCTAATTGAGGGGATGTTTCATCTAAACTTCAGTTTGTCCTCTAGCTTCGTAAGCTGATCCACTCTCCCTTTTTCTGTAAAACAGGTAGACATCGACTGCAAGGAGGAAGGTAGAAACGAGGCTAAAACTCTAAAAAAAGAAGATTAAACAAATTTTGGTGAGAAGTGCATGCGATTCAGGTAAATTGTACTTTCAGATGCATTGCACATAGAGATATCTTTAATCAAGAGAGAAAGTGGACATAATACTTTTTTCGAAAAGAGACAGAAGAGCCATTGTCTGTTAGCCTGAACAGAGCTTCCAAACAAACTGAAGCTGACGTCCGATCAGTACATGGTAGATAGTTTGAAGTTTTGTTCAGAATAGAGCAATGTTTTCTAATCCGCTTCTCAGAGGTACTTTATGCCCAATTATCAGCGCCTTCCAATCCAGAAGTGGGGGTGGGGAGGGGAAATATTGTATATACAAATTAAAATGAGGTCAGAATAGTATCTATTAGGATACCTCCGACTAAAACAGTAAGAACACTGGAGTGCCTGCTGCGTGCCTTTCGGTTTTCCGATTGGTGAGGATACCTTTACAACATCTCTTTTACAGTTATTGGCCAATAACCGAATAAATCCATCGGTCTGACAGAATACGGGGGCACAGGGGACTGCAATTTATTTCGAATCTCACGTGCCGCTCGGTAGTGAGAAGTGCCTTGGTCGGAGTTTTTTTGGTGAAGTGGCTCCCAATATACGTTAATGTCGTGTAAAGGAATAGCGTAGCAGTCAAGGGCGTAACCAGCCGTTTTTTTCCTTTTAATTAAGAGCTGTAGAAGGTCTAGCCTCCCCGCAGACGTCCTTTGGGGTTCGTTTGTCACGCATTCATTTCTCCCCCACGGAGTCCGTGGGGGAGAAATGAATGCGTGACAAACGAACCCCAAAGGACGTCTGCGGGGAGGCTATAGAAGGTCTGAAGGGGCGGGGGATAAGGGGTGAAGGGACTGATAGCAAGCCAAGTTAACGCTGACCTATAAAAATATGTCACAGCACATCCACAGTTCTTTTTTGCTTTTTCTGACCGGGCACGGAACTTCAAAGTCAAAATGAAATAGTCGTATTGAGATACCTACCACTGAGACCGTAATAATGTCGGAATGGCCATGGAATCCAAATGCCTTGTCTATTTTAGCCAGTTCGTACTCTTTTTTCATGAAATCGGCCATTCGCACAGAAGCAACTAAAAACAACAACGCCAGCAGGAAGGAAAAAATATAGAGCTAAAAGAAACAGAAACAAATAAAATTAAGGACGAAAAGCGGTAATCCGGGGTTAAATTTTAATTCGGATTGTTTTAAAGCATTTTCTCGGGTTATTTTTCCTGTTCTCTTTAAAGCATCCAATCATCAAATTATAGACTTGGAGACTGTTAAACTAAATTTGCTTTATTTATGCAATATCTCTCGCTCGGACACCTACAACGAGATGAAACTTTCTCCAAATGCAAATCGTAGTCTTCTTTCATGGTCACTGGACATGTCACGTGGTCAAAAGTTGAAGTTTCACTGATTAAAGCTTTGACTATTATTTAAGACTAAATTTGGGCCCTTGAAATGACGTTTGCCTTCATAGTTTTTTTTATTGGAATGCAATGAACATTCATTCCAAACGTGAAGCGCCAGAATTTTTTTAAATATGAATAATAAAAATACTTTTACTTGACTTCTTTACTTAAACCCTGTGTTAACTATTTAACCTACTGTTTACGATTCTCAGTGAGGTGTTCACGTGACATGTCGCGGAACGAACAGAAAGGATACTTATTCTTCAAAAAACTAAGGACGAGAGGATATTTTTATGTACCACATTTCAATTCTATCAGCACCATTCTTTTTCACGAAGTTACGATAAAACCAACTGCTATGTTACCGGAGCTTAGAACTCGATATCTTACAAGTTAATTTACAAGCAAGCTATGAGTATTAACTTTCAGATCGTGGTTCTATTGATTTTGAATATTTCAGACTTAGTTTGGCACTTAGATTGGAGCAGAATTTTTGTGAAATGAAAGATGGCGGACCCAAAATGTCGGTTTGTTTAGTTTGAGTACACTCACCACAAAGTTCAAGTTTTTCTCCGTCAAGCTAAACGCCAAGACCGAGAATATCAGCAAGACGGCTAACAGGCCAATGACGAAAACTGCCACAAAGAAGAAGAACCAAGCTCGAGGTATAAGTCCTTCTCCGAAGACGACAGTCTGTTTAAGTTCATAATCTACCAGACATGGAAACGCTATGCAGATAGTTATCTTTGAAACAAACAAAAAGACAAACAATCAGTCCGAATAAAAAAGCAGAAACCAAACACTAGGCAGAAACAAAACAAAATTTGAGACTAGGGACCGTGGAGCATAGGGGCTAGCTAGTCTCAGTAGTCTCATCATTAATTTCGCTTGCAAATTCCAGGTCAATCCAGCCACTGCCGATCACTGCAATAATGTTGCAATCTCAAATAGGCACAAGACAATAGAGCCGACTGACGCTGTGCGAGTTGTCGGCGTGGCTAACTGATTTTGAGGCTAAATGCCCATAACCTCCAGAGCAACTTTGAAACATGTACTGAGGTTGACCTTCTTCATATAACCTAACTGGACTACTGCGCATGATCATGAACCCAAAATAGGTCAAACGCAAAAACTCACTTTACGACTGATTTCCTTATTTTTTTATAATTTGTTGTTTTCGCTGAAATCCAGTTTAAATGGTAAAAAAGTATAAATTTGAAAACTGGCCTTGATGTTAATTATGTTGTAGATGTAGTACGTTTTTGTGCAGAAAACTAACAGAATGGTAATGAAAATTGGACAAAACGTTCTAAGGATTGGTAGAAAGAAACGCGTTTCCGATGATTTCACATGCTCATGAACCCCGTTACACAAGCTCGTGCCTTTAGCTCTCGTTGACGGCTCAGGGTACGCCGCGAAAGCTAGGCAAACCAATCCAAAATATGTCCGATGTCCCTGTGACAGTGAAAGTCATTAGATCACTTAACACACAAACAAACAAAAGTTGTAAGCCTATGAGATCTTGGAGGCTTATTTGCTAAACAAAATATCGATGTACGTTGAGCCAAATATTCTTCCCTTTTAATGCAGATACGTAGTATTACTTACACCTTCATATGCCATTTTCGAAATATGACGCCTGAAGATGATTTTCGTTTTGTTTTATTCCCCCAAGCAAAGCAAAGCCAAGCCAAGTATGAATTTAAATATAACGTCGAAATTGGTAGAAAATTAAAGCTGGTTATGAGTAGACCTAAATTTTACATCACTTATCGAACAGGCACCAAGCACATACAATGAATTCAACACTGAGAAATCAAAAAACCGTGGAAACGTTTTCAGTTTTATCTACTAGATCTCCAAACGCCTGGTGTTAAAACAAAGGTTTGTTGTGATAATTAAATTGCGCTAAACCTTACCCAACAAAGCTCCTATAACTGTTCTAGCGAAACTGCAAGTATTGTCCTAAAAATCTAATGATAAAAGGTTTGATTTGACATAAACGCTTACAAATTCCAGGATTTTGAGGATGCCTTGAGCAGATTTCAGGTATTCCGTATTAAGCGCCATATCCGGCGGTCTGAAAAACAAAACTGAACAAAAGATTGCCAGAATCACTTTCCCTCAATACAAAAATAGATAACCATAGCCATTAATTTAGCGATAATCAAGATAACCGCTTAGACGGATTCGTTTAGCTTTGAGAGAAAAGTCTCTATCTTTTAAAGCATTTATTGAATACTGGGCAAAATAAAGTTGCTGAATACTTGTCATGATTGACCGACGGTGATAGAGGGCATTTTTGGGTGTATCTTGGTTTTGCGGAAACCATTATTGGTTATATAGTTATTGTAATGTGGTATGGATATTGTTCATTGTCAGTTTCATCTTTTGTATTGGTGATGGTTATAGCATCCGTCTGCAACACCAAGAAACTGCACATTTTTAGTTAATCAAGAGGGCAATTGTTATAAGATAGGACATGATTATTATTTGATGATGCAGCCTCGTTCCCAGTCATCCTCGGCGATTTCGGATGTGAAGTCGCCTGTCAAGCTTGTCGGGAAAATTCGCCTACAAGCCTCCTATTGTAACTCAGATAGCGCGAACGGGCCTAGGTACGAGCTGTATTTGGTGCTGATTGGTTGAGGGCGCGTCGTCTGTAATCAGGGAGCTTAAGCAATGACAACGAGAACGGTAATGAAGCAATGGGTTTAGACTAACAAAACAACAACTTTGCCCGTAAATAGCGATCGATTATCTCATCTTAACTCGAAAGGAAAGCGACATGAAGTATAAAGGCGTATTTTTGGTGGAAAAGCATAGGATTTACCTTGGTTACAAAAAGTGCCCTCGAGATCAAGAAAAAATCCCGTCTCTGTCAGCCAATAGGCCAGTTGCACTAAGAGGTCACGTGACCAATGCTTCCTTTAAACAATGAGTTGGAATCTTGCTGATGCCAAAAATCGTTAGAGCTCACAAAAATGATCTTACACCCGAAATTTGAGAGGAAACGCATTTAAGGGAGATATTTTACGGCACTTTGATTTTTCAGCAAAGTAGTATGATTTGTATTGGCCGCCATGTTGGAGGGCATGCTCTTGCCCTTCAACATGGCGGCCAAAACTACCTCTTGCTTATATCTTGTTCAACGTTTCATAGTTACGCTCAGATGTGCTGTAAAGATTATCACATCATCTTTTCAACATTTTCCTTGAAGTTTAAGTGCAAAATTTGTGTTCAGAGAGAGGTAATTCATAATTTTAAAAATCTCATTTTGGTCACGTGACCATTTACGAACTTATTCATTTTAAGAAAATGGTGCGAGTTTGAAAAACCAAATCACTATTATTTTGTTTAAGATATGACCCACTAATTGTTTTTCGAGCAAAATCATACAACTTTCATTTTCATAAAAACGATGTCACATGCCTCTTAGTGCAAATGGCCTATTAGCAATTATGGGCAAATTAGCATTCAGCGATTTTTCCTTGTATCCCACACCCTCATTATGCATGTGCCTAATATTTGCTAGAACGACAAAAAATATTCAGTCAGTGATCTCGTTGGTTCCTGAGTTGTTGTATTACTTTTTCTTTATTTTTTGAACCCTTTTTTGTTTCATGGGCCGATGCCATGCGTGGAGTCACGCGGCTCACACTGTTTTCTCGACATTCACCAGCGTTCCTTGTTCGGAAAGAATCGTTTTTAGCAGCTGTCTCAGTACCATACTGAAGAGAACAACAAGTCGTCTCAGCTGGACATCACTTCCACATTTCCCTTTCTGAACCTTATTTGCCCCCAAAATTTTGCATGAGCATTGTTTTCAATTTCTCTTGGGACGGCTGTAATACCCCAGCCTACGAAAACATGCGTTTCTCCTCGCTCTTCGCCGCTAGGGACGTTTCGCGCGGAGGAACGTCTAGTAATACCCAGGATAAATGACAAACAAGGGTTATGCAAAATTTTGAGGGGCAAATAAGGTGCATAATTGGAAATGTGGAAGTAGCGTATAAATTAGCGATCGGAGTTAACTTAGTTCGGGGGGAGTTTCGACAGTTTGGTGAAAGAAAACGGCGAGTGATAAACACTTAACTCCTCTGTGTGGCATCTGAACAAAACTTACCTTTAACAAGATGGCTTCTTTTAAGCCCGGGTTTACACTTTACACTTGACAACTTGAAAAGTGATTATTCTCACACCAGCAAGCGCGTACTGTTGAACCTTTCTTCGTATAAGGACACCGAAGAGACAGAGCGAACTGTCTGCATTAGATAGGTGCCCGCTTTATAGAGGTCACCAAAATGACGTCACTTTATTTAAGGCTTCGCTGCAGACACTCGTTTTGACTGAATATAACTTAACATGCATCATGCACTCTATCAGTAGTTCAGTACGTTTCACATCTCAGCTACATATACGAATCAGTTTAAAATTGGTGGTGAAACACGCAATAATGCAGTGCTGCACGTATTTTTTAAAATGTTGAAACAAAACATTATTTCCGTCAACATTTATGACGAGATGGAAAGCTAAATTAATTGTTCTACATTCGCGTGACGGAAATCATGAACGTAAATAATTAACACAAACAGAAAATTATACTAAGTTGGAGTGTCCGCAGCAAAGAGGTTAATAAGAGTTTTTATTAATTGCCTGTCTTGGAAAGGGATTTTTTGGCCAGGCTATGAGAAATGAAAAAAAAAAAAACAGTTCCGATTCACGCATCCTTGCGGTAGCACCTGTGACAGAGCACGCACTCATGCCAGAAAACTGCGGGGTTTCAGCCTGTTTCATAAAATAGAACAACTGAACTTCCGTCTCCGTTTCGTGAAACTGAAGCCAGTAGAGTCGCAGTTTGACAGATCGCTTCTGGGGTTCAGCATATGTGCAATATCCACCGATTTTGAGAGTTTCCACCATTTCACCCAAGTTTTTGATGTAATATACAAGATAAAGAACTCAGAGACTACAGTAAAACCCCGCGTATAAGAACCTGGATTTTTTAATTTAGCCTTAACAGGTTCTTATATAAATGGTAGCAAATTTCGACTACCAAGGTTGTTAAAATAGGTTCTTATATTTTCATATGAATTTCATTTATTTTTTTTATTATAAATATCATCTCATAATACAATATAAATCATTTACCAGTTCGGGAGTATGCCAGTTTTGGAAGAAGCGAAAACAATGGTCTACGTCACCAACCGTAACATGATCACCATGGCGATGGCCATTTTCAAAACATACAAAATGGCGGACAAGGGAGAGGAGAAGAACGAGTATTGACCAAAATTCTCGTTTATTCTTGTTTTATCGAGCCTTTTATTTGTCTTTTTGTTAGTATGAATTGGGAAGTACCTTGAGGACAGGGAGTAACCATTCTTGCGCTATAGTTCTTCGCTTATCGCGCGCTTAGTAGGCACTGCGTACTCACTGCGTATGTAATCAGTACATCGAAAATAGGTAAGCACGCTAACAAGTTTGTGCCTATTTATTTCATCATTTTTTTATATCATAAGGAAAAAAGAATGCTTTGGAAACAACTAAAAAGTGAGTTGTTCTATAATTCATTGTAATTTTTCCCGTTGCATCTGTTTCTCTCCCGCGAGTGAGCGACTGGCCGGAGAAGACGGCTGTAATTCATGTTATTGTTTTGGTGCAAGCGAGTCATTTGTGAGTAAAATATCTGTTTTTTCGAATATGATGTTCTGTTGGTTTATGTCTTGAAGCAGTTCCGTGCAGGTATACAACAGGTTTACAAGGGATTTCTGAGGGTATTGTGCCCGCGTTTTCTTTTTGAAAACCCACAAAGTGAAAATCTTACTTATCATCCCTGATCATTTTTTTTTGTCCCGCTTCAAAAAAACCTATTACTTTCAATTATTCCACTTTCTGAAGTTAACTGATTATTTGGTCAAGCTTAACAAATGCAAGAGGCTCTTAAGAATTTAATATACATATTGGAAAACTAAGAATTATGCTTGTTACATGCTTTTGGATCTATTGATTAAAATGGGATACTATAGTCTTGTAGTCCACCGGATTTGACCAGAGGTCAGAGATCAACAAGGTTATTGATTGTTATAAAATATCCTCTTGTATGGGATTTGATGTTACATCCGAATAATACTAAATTATTGTTTTTAACTCTGGGATTGCCTTTAAACCAAAGGCATTGTAACTTTAAGGAGCACTTTTCTCCAAGTCTTCTCTGTGGGAACCCTCAAACAATTCTATTAGACAAGGTTTGGCCCAAAATAATAATGATTACTGCACTTGGCATGGACACAACATAAGTTTTCCAAAGTTCTTTTTCATAGCCGGTTCTTCATGTTTCTATTGAACAGCACTTTCAAGAAAACAAAGCTCACACATCAGAGTAAAGATACAATAAAAGTTATTTATTGTTATATTTTGTTTTTTGTAAATAAAGATTTTATTTTAGGTCCTGACAGTTAATTCTTTCCGTATTACTGTTTTTGATTCTGACCTGCATGACTCGCTGCCATGGCTACCTGGCTCGCATATTATACACACTCTTTTATCTCAAAATCTTGTTTTTTTAACACCTTCTTGGACATCAAAACCAAAAACCAAAACTTAATTGATGTAATGAAGACAGTAGCAGCTGACATCGATTTTCAATAGTTATCTTGTGAGATGTCTCTCATGTATTATTTATTAGGGAGGATGATTTGTAGAAGACGATGCATTAACATAGATGCTTTTTCATCAAGAGAATCTCAATAATTTAGCATTTATTCAAATACACACATATTCGATATTATGACATCAAATGTGGGCTTATTGCTCATGTACAGGAATTGATAGGGGAGAGTATGGCATTTTTCATGTTTCAGATTGACCTTTTGCGCAGCACAGGGACTGAACATATTATGTATTTGGCATCTGTAAAGTATAAACAATATTTGACGTGAGGGATTGAACATTATGTAGAGAAAATCTTCACAAGCCTCCACTTCCATGACTCCTTTCTCATCTATCTCCTTTAAAGCCCCTTGAATAAGGGCCACAGTCTCTTCTATGGTTGAATGGTCATTGAGTGTGAGCTTCCACTCACAAGGTATATAAGCCCCCCCTCCAACCTGTTTCCCTCTTACCCATTTTTGAAAGGGTCAAAGGAGGGGCATTTGTGGTGGGTAAGCCTGTGACCACACTACAAAGAAACAAAAAAACATAGTTAATTCTATTGAGGTAGGGTTGAATTTGGACATTAAATTTTTCATTACAGTGGAACATAAGGCGAACCTAAAGCAATATTTTGCCCTCAGAGCACAAATATGTCGTTCTGAAGATATTTAGCATTTTGTCTTCCTGGTTCCTTTTCCCAGCTTTTTGGCACAAACGCGACAACATGTTTGTAATATCTCCACATGTTTGTCTACATTTTTGACGGAAATCCTGATCAAAATAAAAGAAATCAATGTAAGAACCTACTCACACTGATTTAAAACTAATTCCACACACATGATCTGGATCAATAAAGTGATTTCTAGATGAGAGTCGCATAAATTGCTGGTGAACACGACCAAAAACAGACCTGATCGATTATAACTGAAAGTACATAGACAGACTAAGGCATAACCATCAATATCAGTCACCCTTCCTGTCCGTTGGCAATTTTCAATGTGTGGTTGCCATTTTTACTAGGTTGTTGCCATCGATGAAACTTTGCCTGAACACACTTTAAACGTTGTAGTTTTGAGGAAAATTAGTCTTGACTTCGTAAAAATTCGGCAAGATACTGAAAACTAAACATAAAGTCATGTACTTACATTCGATACCCGTCAAGATGGCGGCGGCGGCGTCGAAGGCCATTTGAAAACTGTCGCTTTTAACTACCGAAATGTGGCAGGAAAGTTCCCTTGACATTCAAAAAGCAAGGAGAAGGCTTCTTCACCGGTACTGCTAGCTCGGACGTCCCGGATATTGAACGAGGACAAGTGGAACAGGCTTTGAAAAAAGCTCCCTTGTTTCTTGCGATTATTTTTTCCTATTTTTGCGTGTTTTTAGCAGAACAATGGAATCATGACGTCATCGCTTCTTCCAAAACTGGCATACTCCCGAACTGTTTACAGCTATTTCGAGAAAGGTTGTCGGCAGAAGTGCACGCGACAATCCCGAAAGGAATTGTGGGTGGTTTTAAGTTCACTGTTCTTCAAAGAAATTTGGAAGAATGGCACAAGAGGCCATGGACGTATGTTTGCGCGTGCTAAAGGAAAGCAACAATAAAAGATTCGACAGCTACGGTGCCAGGAACAGCGTATTGATCATATCCCATATTGCCTCTCGGGATTGTCGCGTGCACATTTCTTCGGACAACCTTTCAGGGGCACCCAACGACAGGTTTCTGTAAAATATCTATTCGGAGAAGCACAAATTGCCTAGAGTTTCCTACACCTTTCCATTCATGTACAATTTTCGAAGCTTATCTAATAAATTCCCTACGATTTTCTGAACATGGGTTTAATGTTTGGCATTTTACCCCCCCGCCCCCCACCCCGCTACCCCGCCTCCGCCAGATTAAGCTATTTTTTGCAGAAAAAGAAAACCTAAAATTTTCGGATTCGAAAATGCGATGGAAAGAGGAATAAGAAAAATTCTCTCTTCTTCTCTCATCTAAAATTTTCGGGAAGATAATACTGAAGCCCTGGTAATTTCGAAAAGACTCAAGTTGCCCTAGGATGACCGAACAGATATAAATTTCATAGCGCCGATTAGAACTAAAAGTACTCTGGGTAGCCTGAAAAGTGTTTTCAATGTATTTAGGAGAAAACCGAAGTTGGGTGCCCCTGACCTTTCTCGAAATAGCTGTATACCTAATGTAATGCCTACAGGCAGTACAGTGTAGATATGTCCTTAACAAAACATAACAAACAAACTCATGGTCATGCTAGATCAGTTCTCTGAAATGCCATTTCGAAGTTGATACCAAGAAAATTTTGGGACAAATACAGTACATTCACAACCAGTTCCACTGATGAGAGCCTAACTTAAAATTTTAGCCTTAATAGGTTCTTATGTGGAGGGGCCTTAAAATGAAAATTTTAGCCTAACAGGTTCTTTTGTTATAGGCGGGGTTTTACTGTATAGCTGTTCCGGGATGTCGGGGAAAAGCCTTGCAAGAGTTATCTATCCACAGGTGGACCATGCATATGTGAGCTGTTCGAGGCAGCGTGAAGTCACACGCGCTTATAGTGTGTCTGATCTCTTATACATTTTACTGTATACATTCCTTAACAGCCGCTCTCGGCTTGATTCAACTGATTAGGAGAAATGCTTGTTGTGAAGTTAAGCGTAGTTGTGGCCAGTACTGACGCTCTTGAAATGTTTTTTAATCTATCCTGGAAACGTTACTTGCAAATTATCTAGAGAAAACAACTAATAACAAAGTAGCCTATTTATAACCGGTTCTTAGAAAGAAGAAAAACGATAAAAGCGCGATTTTCCTTTATTTCAAGCAATAATTTTTCCTTGTGCGAGTTACGCAATCAGTCACGTGACAGTGTTGACTAGAAAATATAATAATGATCGTCTTTGTTATATTGAACATTGGATAAGTTATCCTTTTTTAGCGATTTTTTTTTAACAAAGAATTGGAAAGTAAAAGGTGATTCAGGCTCCAGTCTCGTTTTCATGCTGGACTGTAATTTGTGTGATATAAAAATAAAACGTCGTTTACTCAAAACCTATACCACAAATCGACCTTGCAAATTGTTAGACAATGAACAAAAGGTTTTGTTCTACCAAAATCCGGTATCAAGCTTAAACCTTTTCTGACCCGTGGGTTGAACAAAACGACAATTTTCCGAGCTCGGCTACTGGACTACATTGCAAAGATATATTCTCCAAATGCATCGATACATTTAAGCGAGTGTTTATTTATTTCAGTAGCGTTTATTTAATATCTAAGCACCCAAAATTATCCTTGTATCAGCTCTCCGGTTAATGTAAAGTGCATTGCCAGCAGTTATCACAGTCTCAACAGTGTGAAAAATTATTTTTCTCATGTTTACACGCGTTTTGCTCTGAAAATTTGTGGCCTTGCATCAGACACGCGCCCACGTAAGGAATCTCGCGAGGGACGGGAAGAGCTTTTGGAACGGGAGAGTTTGACTGCAAAACTGACCAAGTGTTCAGCGATGCAAATTTACCTCTAGTCATGAAATAACGTTGCTGATAAGAAATCAGTAACTAGCAAATTATTGTATTTCTAATTTCATATTGATTAATTACTTACTTACTTCTAATTACGATTACTTTTGAAGATGTATGTTGAAGCATACGAAACGGCGTCAAGATAAAAGTCATATTTTACCCCGCTGTTAGTTTTTCTCTGATGTTCATCACCGCAGCTTGAATTTTATTTTTTATCAAGCTGCGATGGCCAAAGATCAAGAGTATTGATGTTGCTGTTTTTAGAAACTTAAAATTGAAAAATTGTCTCAAGTCAATGAAAGTGTTCTCTACTAACTGAGAAAGAAAATTCACAAACCAAAAACTATGCTATCTAGGTTTGGTAACCAGTAATATAATGACCTCAGAGGCTCTGATCATGACGTAACTTCGAAGCGAAAATGTTCAGCTTTCAATTGGTACTATAGGCTGAACATCCGATTCGCGGATATAGCCTCTGAATTTCTTTAGGCGCATTAAACACTGAAACTGTGGTGAAGACTTCATCTCCAGAAGCTTTTTCTTTCCTATAATGGCGTTACGAGTAAGCTAGCAACAGGACCGAGTTTCTTTCGCTAAAAATCATAAAACGGCAAACCGATCCTTACGGCAAGGCGATGAGAAGTACAAAACATATATATTTTTAACAAATTTGCCCAATATTTCAGTTTGAAAACAAACCTTCTTCAGGAGTTGAAACTATATATTTTTTGTTTTATTCTTTCGTTTACTTCTTCATCGCCTTGCCGTAAGGATCAGTTTGCCGCTTTATGATTTTCTGCAAGCGAGTATTATTGTACTGATCACAAGTGGGAGACCCGGCACCACTCAACGATTTATCGCTGTGGACTTGCTGATATTTTTTTTATTTTCTTTTGCCTCACGACCTACCCTGTAGCCCGAGAAAAGAGCCGACATTTTGCGACGCCGCATTTCGTGAAACAGTCGGGTGGCCGGGGTCGCAAAACGCCGGCTTATTTTCTCAGGCTAACCCTCACTGGTCTGGCTTTGAAACAAATTTGCGGGGAAAAACACCTCTTAAAAAACTGTGCAGGTTAGTTATAGATTATTAAATTAACAGGGGAGGTTTATGAAAAGCAAGCTGCATCTTAACTACTCAGTTAGCTCCAGTTTTGCATTTACTGAAAAAGAGAACTCCATCGACTGCAAGGAGGACCCCCCGAAAGAAATCCAAATACCTAGAAAAAAAAGGAGAAATAGTAAAAAAAGGAACGGTTCTCCAGACAATATTAGAGATAAATCGCACTTTTAAATCTAATGAACACCTTTCTCTTCTTCCCTCCCCTGGTGTCGTCATTGACTCAACGACACCTGAAGAAGGGCAAGAAAAAAAAAGGGTTCCATTGAACTTCTCTGTACCCTGGTATATAATGTCGAGCGTTAAGCCCTTAGTTGACGATTTAATGAGAGATTAAAAGATTTTATAGATTCCAACTATCACTTCAGCTGTCTTTGGTCGGTGTAGATATGTTTTGCACTTTTCGTGTCCAAATTAAACTAAACCAATCCTTTTATGACCAATTCAATCACTGCACCCGGTGGGGGGGATTGCGTTATTACATGCCTACAAGGGCCGGGTCACTAGACAAGGTACAAGTATATTTGGCCCTTCTGTCTGATTTTGTCTGGAGTGGGACTCCTAACTAAGGTCTTAAGTTTTTTAGAGGAACAGCAGAGACGGTAGTCATTGACGTAACCAGGGATGAAAAGCAGAGTTGTTGACCGATACAAAGAAAGTAGTTTTTTTTTTGTCCTAAACCTAGTCATCAGCATTACTTGGGTGAAGAACTCGGTCCCAGTTGGACGCGGCAAAAAATTGTATTAACTACGGTATTAATATTCCCCGTATTAAAAGTACAGAATGCTTCAAACGTCTTAATAGGCGCTTAATCGCGGGTAGTGCTTATTCGAGTAAAAACGTGATATATTTTGAGATACTTACCACTGACACAGTAAGAAGGTCAGAGAATTTTTTCAAAGGAGGAAACTTGTGCCATTGTGCGTCGTACACATCTTTCAAGATTTCAGTCATGAGACCAGAAGCAATGAAAAACAACAGAGCAAACAGGGCGGAGAAAATGAACAGCTTAAAAGAGAAAAAAAAAAGTGAAGAAATATTATTCTAAGTATGTCGTTGATTCTATGTCTTAATACTGAGGACTACTTTTAATTATTTTTATGTCATGGCTTTCAAGTTGGTACCACAATATCAAAGCTCAGAGTTGAATATATGTCAGAACTGAATCAGTAGTTGGAAAATGCATGGAAAGGTGACATGCTTTTCCCCATGGCTCTGAGCAAAGTGCACTTGGGGTATTCTTCTTGGTTAAAAACCCCTTAGAATTTGAATTAAAATCTGTGCGGTCCAGACAGTCAGGTGCGGCTCATTCGTTTGGAAGCGACAGTGCAAGACCAGAAATTTGTATTTTTAAATATTAGTTTATGCTTCAAAACAAAACGAGCTACCTGATATTTTTCTTTGACCAGATCAAAGAGGAACTGAACAGAATGGGTATTGATGATGATTGTAGGATTATAGACGGTGGAGGTTTTAATGGCAATGCGTTTACTCCACCATCAGCGTTGAACGAAAGCTCTTATTTTTTTGTCAGTTAAAAAGGTGAAATGATGGATATTCTTAACATCCGTTTAAAAAATGTGTACAAAGAATTTTGTTCCTATAGATTAACCCAGTCTATTGCTAATGCCAAATGGTAAGACAAATTAGATCCTAAAACCAAGTCTTTTGTGTAAATGGACAAAAATATATACAGTGAAACCTGTATTAAGCGGACACCGTATTAAGCGGACACCCTCTATTAAGCGGACAGTAGCCGAAGTCCCCAAATTTATTCCCTTATTTACTTTTTATGAAACCTTCATTAAGCGGACACCTCTATTAAGCGGACGCAGACACGTAAAAAGCACCTAAAAAGGGCCATTTCTATTGTTGCCAACCTGTATTAAACGGACACTTGTAATTAAATTTCACCACCCAACATGCCAGACACCGGAAATGCGAAAGATTGCCTCGAATTGCCACCCACAAATTTGTCGATTTTTACATTAAAAAACGTGACTTGACGAACTTATATGATTAGTTTCACAGTAACGGATTGTTTTCTATTTCGTTTTGTTTGTATAGAGCTTTTGTCACTCATCTGATTTCTTCAAATTTGAGTTGCAATCCATGTTTATGGTACTATGATCAATTGGTTCACTTTGATAAAGAAATTAATGCAAACGTCTATCGTCATAGTCTCTGGGAGTATTATAAACGCTTCCACTGTTCATTTGAATGGCATTTGACACCTCATATGACGTTATATATCGAAACCTGCATTAGGCGGACACCCTGTATTAAGCGGACACTACAGCATTCCCCGAGGGTGTCCGCTTAATACAGGTTACACTGTATATATTCTTTGCCTTTTCAGGTTTCTCTGGATGAGAAATAGATAGTTACTTTATTGCACACACAAATGATGAACTGTTTGTTTTCAAAATTTTCGACTCCCCTAACTGCACGTTCTGTGAAAAATGAAGTGGAATCCCCTGGCCATCGATCTTTTGCGAAGTAGTGCATATGTTTTAGAAAGACGTTTTATTGTGGATAACCCTTCAGTAGCAGTGAAGTAAAGGATATTTCATTTCCAGGTGTCTTTCTTGGTAAATTCAATACCAATAAAGATTTTATGATAATCAATCATCGAGCCTTTTTATTAGCAAAATTCTTTTGGGTGCAAATTAGATAAAAAAGAACCATCACTTGACGTTTTTAAGGCTACTGATTGAAAGCTACCTACAAATTATTATCTCTAGGAAAAATGATGTTCTTCAACAAAACATTATGATAAATGGGATGCATTAATTTCGATACTTTCTTAATCGCTCTTTCCAACATACATAAATTGAACACGTTTCTGCCGCCCAATACATAATGTACAATATTTGATATTTATTTTTCTAATATTTCTTTTAGTTTTTGCATCTTCGTATTGTTAACTTCCCAATATTAGCCTTGCTCTCTTTTCTTATAAATACTTATAAATACAGTTTATGTTTATGTTTTTTTTTTTTTTTTTTTATGTGTAATTTATGAAGCTTTTGATTCAATTGGTATTTTTTAGTGCATGTATACTATAAGTAATTTATGCTGATATATAATGTGAAGCGAAAGGAAAGGAAACAACAAAAAAAAAAATGGAAAAAATAACAAAAGAAAAAGGGACGGCAATCGAGAAGCCCTGGGGACGAGGCTGCTTTTTTGGGGAGAGCTGTAGAAAGTGGCAGAACATTTCAGACGTTTCACGAAGAAAAAGTAACTAAATTAATGCCTAAAAATATAGCCAATTATTAATAATGATAATAATTTATCGCGACTTGTTCGCCGCAAATTAGCATGTGAATTAATGCGAATGTGATATTCTATTACTTTCTAGTCAAAGTAAACATCCCTCTACATCCTGAACTTGCTGAGAGACAGGCATGCGCAACTGAACACCCTCCTTGATCTCCGTAATTCTTCAGATCATACTCAGCCTTAACCATACTTAGCTTTTAGCAGCGCTTTTGCGAAATTTAAGATGGAAACAAAATGTCGGCTGTAGATTTCTACACAAACCCGCATATACTCACTGCAAGATTCATGTCTTTCTCCCTGAAGCTGAACAGGAAGACCAAGAACACCACCAGGACCACTACAAACCCAATAACGAAAACCGCCATGAAGAAGTCGAACCTCACTTCAAATTTGTCGGAAAATTTAGCCAGTTCTAGTTCTCGTTCAAAATCAGCCAGACATGAAAACGCTATGCAGATAGTTATCTGTAAAAAAAAAAGCGAAGTCATGATCATAGCTTGAGAAAACAGCTGACAATTCACTACGTAGCCTATACACAGACGTTTCTTTAATTTAATTCCCCGCTGTTTATATTTTTATTACGCGCGCTCAGCGGACTTTAAGAGAAAATAGAGGGTCCGTTAACAGACTATTCACGACCCCACCACTGATTTCACGGCGAAATTACATCTGAGCAACGACTGCGGAAATACCATACTGATGACTTGTCACTACCTAGATGTGGGTAGAGCTTCTGATTGGTTGAAGCAAATTTCTCTCGCGGCACGACCAGTCAGAAGCACTACCCAGGTCTAGGAAGTGATACGTCATCAGTATGGATTCCGAATTTCTCCAGTGGTTGCTCAGACGTTATTCCGCAGGAAAACCAGTGGTGGCCCGTTTTGTCAAGCTAAGCGCAGTCATAGAGTTTGTCCCATCTCAGCGGTTGTGAAATAATATAGCATGCACACAACTGATACAGTTGCAGTATAGTACGAAACTATATGGTCAATGTACACTACAAAATAAAATACCAAGTCAAATTTTTCGTTGATTATGCATGTACTCAGCTCCATTCGATAATTGTTCCGAACTGTTAATTATTCTATAACACCGGTATACTCCTATTTCCAGAAAGAGGTTAATTTAGCGTACCCTATATCTATAAAAAAGGTTTGATTTTTCTTGAAATACTCACAAGTTCCAAGATTTTGAGTACCCCTTGAACAGATTTTCCGTATTCCGTATTTACCGCCATCTCTGGTTTGCCTCTTAAAAATGAACAACTCCTGTGCAAAAAAAAGGAGAAGAGTCTCTATTTAGTTGGCTTCTACTGTTTCGATACAGTTTTTCGGAGGCTATGCCCATATTTTTCAAACACCTCAATGATGTTTTTTCCTTCTCCGATCGCTATAAAATTTTCATCAGTGATTGACTATGAATTGAAGTTTGTCAAAACACGTACAGTTTTAAAGGCCTATTGCCAACCTTGATGCATTGCACGCCGTGAACACAAGGCTATCCGTTCGAAAAAAATTGTCATTCGTTCGAGCGGCTCGGGCTAACCTCCGTTTTCGGCTACGGGTCGAAATGCTAACCTTGTTATACATCCAAGACGCGCTCAGGCATAATAACATCATGCCGGGACCTCGACCTAGATGAACCAGGAAAGATATAGAACAACTGCCTAATTATTTTATCCTAGAAGCGCTCAGGCGATTGAGTTTGGGGTGCGCGAGAAGGGATAAATGATAAAAGGCATTTACCCGTCTTGCAAACAGATTTTTGAGTCACTCGTTTTGCAGGAGAATGTCTGCGTTGTTTTGTTCTTATGAAAGTTTAACCAAAGAAAGCTTAAGCGAAAATAGGGACATCGCAATAGCTATTGCTGGTTTTCAGTGTCACGCCATTCAAAATAGATGAAAATGAAAATCAAAACCGTTCAATAGAAAAAGACCAGAATCTGGGGAAATGAAACAAGGGCGTAGCTAGGGGGGTCCTGGGGTGCCCGTGACCCCCCCCCCCTCCCTTCTTTTGAGAAAACAACCTAAAATATTTAGGTGGTGAAAACGCCATGACAATATCTTGGCCGTAAAAGCCATTGTTGAAAAGACCACTTTTTTAAAATTTGTTTTTTTGTAAAGTATTTTCGTCAACAGCTCTTGCCTTTAGTCTTGAATAGGGCCATTTATACGAGGAAAAATAAGACGCGTCTTAAATAAGACGCGAACTTTCCGTATAAACGGCACATTTCGTCTAAAATAAGACGCGGCTTAGCTAAGACGCGTCTTATTAGATAAGACATGCTCGTATAAATGGTACAGTTCGCGTCTTATTTAAGACGCGTCTTATTTTTCCTCGTATAAATGGCCCTAATATGGGCCTTCATGGGCCTGGTGAGTAGCCTCTGTGACCCCCCCTTTGAAAAATCCTGGCTACGCCCCTGTGAAAGGAGGTACATATACAAAGACGGTCGCCAAGATTAAGGTCACAGGAATCTTTCGTACACGAGATATCCGAAGAAATGTTTTACACGTTTTACACAAACTTACAGAGATTTGTATGGAGACGCCATGCTGTTGCTCACCTGGATGACCTCCAACATGGCGGAAGGAAACCAACAGAAACATCTGTTTCCGAGTTTTGCTACAAAAGCGTGAATTTATTCTTCGAGAAACTCATGAACATTAAAGTAATACTTTTTCTAATACATAAACTGTTTAGATAGCAAATTTTCTGAAATAAGTCATTTTTTTAACCTACATGACAGCTCTCCTGGCCGTTATGTAAATGCTGCGTCACGCAAAAGCTAAGAAATTCAAGCGTACTCCATCAAAAGCGAAAATTTATATGAAAATTAGTTTTCAGCTGCTCTAATGGATCGTGAAAGTAAAATTTCAGTAGGATTTATAGTTTTTTAGTTTGAATTTTAGTGACGTCAGGTAAAAACCAAAAATACTCTTACGAACTATAAATTAGGGCTGACCTGAAAGGCACCTTGAATAGCCTCTCTTTTTACAGTTCTTGGCGCCATCTTGGAATAGTAACCTCGCAAACCATAGAAGCTCGCGTTGACCCGCGAAACATAAACAGAGTGAAACTCGCACGTTCGTACTTTTGTACGACGCTGGAAGATATTCAGAAGGCTAAAGTGAAAGAACTAAGGGATATTTTGAAGTGTAATTCAAAAAGAGCCGGCGGAACAAAGAAAGAAATCGAAGTCACAGAAAAAATAAATTATCGATTATTATCGATTACCAAAGTCCATAAAAATCGATAGGAATCGATAGTAATTGATAACAATCGATAAAAAAATCATCGATTTCTATCGGAAAATGATCCATATTACTCGAAGTCAAAACTTTTTTATCGATTTCTATCGATCGATATCGGAAATCGATATTCATCGATGATTGATATCGATTACTATCGATTATTATCGATTATCGGTTTATCGATTATCTACGTCTGGTCTAGAACGAAGATGGTCGCGACCTGGATTTATAAAATTACCATTGCAAGAGCTACTATGTCAGTCATTTCTCCTTTCGTCGCATAGATATAGTGAATGTTTGTACGCTCATCCTCGACTCTCGAAACATTTGTCTTGCGCCGCTATAGAAGTTCCGTTTCCGCGAACCGTAGGTAGATTTCCCGCTTAACAAAATTTTTGATAATTTATTAAACATTGAACCTCGTGAAAGTCAGAAGTGCATTTATCGACTCAAAAATACAGACTTCCCCCACAGGGATTTAAACACGATTTTAATTAATTAAAGTACTTTACGAGCGCTGCGGTAGTTGACCGCAAAAGTGTTACGATGACAGATACTTAGATACTCAACTGGATGATTACGTCACTTCATAGCAACTAGACGCTACCCTTTTTTTAACTTCTGGAACGCTGAGGCTTGTGATGTTTGTAAAATACACTATAGTTTGACGATCTTTTTATCACCATCTAGTAGCGGCGAGGGAGCCGACTTAAAAAAGGCAGAAACCTTACACATTTAGCACTACTGAAAAGAGTCAGCATGCAAAAGAGAACTTCAAGCTAATTGCATAAATATTATTAGCAAGCGAAACATTTAAAACAAAGTTAAGCGAAAGAAATAAAACTACGTGAGTCAAAAAATACCGTTCTGTCTTAAATTCTCTCCACAACAATAGTAGCAATCGTTGCGATCTTTTTATCATAAACCACACGCATTAAGTGCATGATCGCGCTTACACATACTTTGGAAATGAGGTTATGATTACATCTGTATTCTGTAGTCAGCTTGAACGACGAAATTTCGCCTCGTCTAAACGAAATTTCGTTTCGAGGAATCGAAATTTCGCTTCGATGAAACGAAATTTCGTTTAATGACACGAATTTTCGTCCTGCAGAGAAATTTCATCTCATGCGGCAAAATATCGGAGTTAGGTACGATATCGAAAGGATATCATGTGTCGGATATTATCTGATACTTATATTTATATATATTATCTATATACCTATATCTATAAAATATCTACATAGCCTACTAGAGTCTACTTAATTAGATCCCACCCTCCTCTTTCCTGACTGCGATGATATTGGATATTAGTACAGGTAATCCCATGATTTGTAGTGATATTTGGCATAAATACCACGAGTGACATTCCGAAATTGTTTTACGTAATTTCACGAGCTGTTAGGCGAGTGAAATTTAGACAATTTTGAAATATCACGACTGGTTCTTATGCCAAATATCACGTACAAATCATGCAATTATTTGTTTACACTACTACCCACGAAAGGTTTGTAATTTTCACATGTAGGTATTTCAAATCAAGCTAAAATACCTGTGCTCTAAGCCAATCAAATTGCAGAAATTTCTCCTGTAGTAGAATAATCGCGATAATATCCATTATCACCGTAGTCAGGAAAGAAGAAAGGGTGATCTAAATAGACTCTTGGTAGTAGATTCTAACGTGAAATTAGTATAGGTAAAACCATGGTTTTATTTGGCATAAATACCATCGTGATATTTCAAAAATGTCTCAAATGTCGGAATATCACTCGTGGTATTTATGCCAAATATCACTACAAATCATGGTATTACCTATACTAATATCACGTTAGAATCTACTACTAAGGGTCTATTTAGATATCCCTTTGCTCTTTCCTGACTGCGGTGATATTGGATATTACCGCTATAATATCAAGTTAGAATCTACTAGAGTCTATTAAGATATCTTTTTCCTCTTTCCTGCATGACTGCGGTGATATTGGATTATCGAGATAATATCACGTTAGAACATTACAGAAACGTGCCGATTTAAAAAGGTCGCCCGTGAAAAGTGGGGTACCCATTAGGCTTTGCGAGCAAAAGCGAGGTTTCAAAGACTACCGTCGTTTTCGGTCTCTTATGAACTTCATAGCGGTTAACTATTCTCACACTTTCAAGAGACAATGCAGAAACAATAGAGGTAGGTTAACATTGTTTTAAGTGTTGGAATGTCTTTGTCATTGCTACAAAGAAGAAAATGTTTAATATGCAAAGAGAAGCATTTTTCTTCCTCGTGCACTAACATAAAACCCTCGCGAATTCGGTAGTCTGGTGCTAATTGTTTCGATTGCAAAACAGTTAAAGCTAATCACAAACCAAAGTATTCTTCACTTAAAAACTCATCTTCACGAAAGTCACTCTATAAGACTGAATAAAAATGTTTGCAGCGTTTATAAATATTATTATCAGAAGCGGTATTGTAGTTGTTTAGATTTCCCTTTCCTCTTTCCTGACTGCGGTGATACTGGATATTATCGAGATAATATCAAGTTAGAATCTGCTAAGAGTCTATTACGATCGCCCTTTCCTCTTTCCTACATCAAGTTAGAATCTACTAGTCTATTTAGATCCCCTCTTCCTTCTTTCCTGACTGCGATGATATTGGATATTGCTACAGGTAATAGTATACACGTAATGTCAGATCCCGAGGGAAACAAAACTGACTGGTTTCCCAAGGGACCTGACATTAAGTGTTTTGTTATATTTCTGGACTTTCACTTCAACAGCAACCAAAGAATAACCGGAGCGAACCAAAACAGTCGACTCGGTACTTATAAAGACACAAATTTAATTCCCTAAACACTGAATGAATTATTTACAAAGTACTTTCCTTATATTATCTGCATCTTTTTCCTCCACTAGCTGTTGTTTTTCTTCTGGGAACTTCTGGGATAAGTGTAAAAATCGTTGCTTTTTAGCTTGAGGCTTCGTGTTTGCGTTGTTG